GCAACACAAACACACAGACACACAGGAAGACACGCACACAGACACACAGACACACAGACACACAGACACACAGACACACAGACACACAGACACACAGACACACAGACACACAGACACACAGACACACAGACACACACACACACACGCATCGCGATTAGAGTGCGGCTTCCAACGAGCCTTCGAGAGAAGCAAAAAGCAGTCCCTCGCTGGACGCAGGCACTGCTGGCCACGCGTGTCCTGCGAAGGTGAGGTGGCGGCCAGTTGAGGCCAGAGCATCTGCTTCAATGCCAGCAGTTCTGCTCTAGTGCTGCCTTGGGGGGGGGCGGAGACGGAGGAGGGGGAGGAAGACGCCGACGAAGGAGACGGCGGCGGCGGCGGCGACGACGGCGACGACGACGACGGCGACGACCGCGGCGGCGACGACGGCCTCGGTCCTCGGGTCCTCGAGCCTCGATCCTCCACCCTGGCACCTCGATCCTTCGCCCTCGAGCCTCCATCCTCAGAGCCTCGGCCCTTGGAGCCTCGAGGCCCTCGCAGCCTCGCAGCCTCGAGGCCGCGCTGCCTCGCCAGCGGCGGCGACGGCGACGACGCCGCCCAGGAGAAGCGCGAGGCCCGCCAGGAGCGTCTGCGGCAGCTGCACGCGCAGGGGGCGGCGTCCGGCTGCGGCAAAGGCCCGCCGCGGGGGGGCGCCCTGCGGGCCCTCCCCGTCCTCCCCGCCACTGCTCCGCCCCTGCTCCTCGGACCTCCTCCTCCTCCTCCTCCTCCTCGCTCCTCCCCCCCCCCCCCCTCCCTCTCCCCCTCCCTCCCCTCCTACCTCCTCCTCCTCCTCTCCTCCCCTCTCCTCCTCTCATCCTCCTCCTCCTCTTCCTCCCCCTCCCCCTCCCCCTCATCCTCCTCACCCTCCCCCTCCTCCCCCTCCTCCCCCTCCTCCTCCTCCTTTTTGGCGGCGGTATACTGCAAGCGACGCTAAAGAAATGAACACAGTACAATTACAAAAACACCCGTCCCACTCTCCGGCCATCAGGTCTGACGGCTGGAGCTTTGCTTCTTGGGTGTTTCAGCCCGGACTTCTGCGCGAGCCTCCTTTCTCGGGAATCCAGTGCATCCAACGCGTCAACCGAAGTCTAGTGGAGAATTTCGTGTGACATGAGGGGCACGTCGCGCCAGCACGTGCGAACAGCCGCATCGGGTTGCGAGCGCCGTGCTTGGACCTCATGTTGTTGAGGCACGCTTGGGACGTGCCAAAGGCACGCCTATGACACTCGTGGCACATGACATTGCCAACATTCATCACCTCCTCCTCCTCCTCTTCCTCCTCCTCCTCCTCCTCCTTCTCCTCCTCCTCCTCCTCCTCCTCCTCCTCCTCCTCCTCCCCCTTCCCCTCTTCTCCTCCTCCTCCTCCTCCTCCTCCTCCTCCTCCTCCTCCCTCCTCTCCCCTCCTCCTCCTCCTCCCCCTCCTCCGCCGTCCCCTCCTCCTCCCCCTCCTCCTCCACCTCCTCCCTCCTCCTCCTCCTCCTCCCTCCTCCTCCTCCTCCTCCTCCTCCTCCTCCTCCTCCTCCTCCTCCCCCCCCCTCCCCCTCCTCCTCCTCCGTCTCCTCCTCCTCCTCCTCCCTCCTCCTCCTCCTCCTCCTCCTCCTCCTCCTCCTCCTCCTCCTCCCCCGCCCCCTCCCCTCGCTCGTCCTCCTCCTCCCTGATCCTACTCCTCCTCCCTCCTCCTCCTCCTCCTCCTCACTCCTCCTCCTCCTCCTCCTCTCCTCCTCCTCCTCCCCTCTCCTCCGCCTCCTTCGCTTCTCGGCGTCTTCCACTCCTCCTCCTCCTCTCCTCCTCCTCCTCCTCCTCCTCCTCTTCGTTTCTCCTCTCCTTCCCCTCCCTCCCTCGCGCCTAACCAGCGCGTCTTCCTCCTCCTCCCTCCCTCCACCTCCTCCTCCTCCTCCTCCTCCTCCTCCTCCTCCTCCTCCTTCCTCCTCCCTCCTCCCCTCCTCCTCCTCCCTCCTCCTCGCATCCTCGCGTCTCCTCCTTCTACTCCTCCTCTCCTCCTCCTCCTCCTCCTTCCCCGCCTCCTCCTCCCTCCTCCCCTCCCCTCCTCCTCCTCCTCCCTCTCCTCCCCCCCCTCCTCCTCACTCACCTCCTCCTCCTCCTCCTCCTCGCACCTCCCCTCCTCCTCCTCCTCCTCCTCATCCTCCTCCTCCTCCTCCTCCTCCCCTTCTGCTCCTCCTCCTCCTTCTCCTCCGAGGACCTCCCTCCGACGATCGATCTGAGTTCTGTCTACCCGAGGTCTTCCCTCGACTTTGGCCTCCTGGGCTCGTGCTCGGGCCCCGGGGGGCGATCAAGAACGACTCCGCGGCGAAAACATTGGCCCTGGGAAGGGGCTTTGGACCTCTTTGGCTGCGAATTGGAAACAGCTTATCGGAGGATGGTAGGGTCTCTCCCTGGCCCTCCCTTCCCTCCCCTTCCCCTAATCCCCCCCATCCATCCCTCTCCCCCCCCCCCCCCCTTCCCCATCCCCCCTCCTCCTTCTCCCCCTCGTTCTTGGGCCCAATCTGGCCTGATCTGGCTTCATGGCCCCGCAATCTGGAGCCCTTCACTGTTCTTGCGAAGACCTCCCAGAAGTTGCCTCCTACAGTCAACCCGCATTGTGAGGACGGGCAACTTTCTCAAAGGTGCCCTTGCATCCTTGCCTCCTCGGCCCATCCTCGGCCACTTGCGCTGGCCGCGCCCCGCTCTAAAGGCCTCGACGAGACGGCCTTCCGAGGCCCCTGCGTCCTTACCGCGCATCCTTTTGGTACGAGCAGACTGTAAACGCGTTGGTCGGGCGGG